TGCAGGCTGATTTGTTGTCATACCGAAGCTCAGTACAGGAGCCCTTTCTGTGCGATATGTGAGAACATGTTTCAGCTGCAAGAAGATGTTTATTTAATCTCACCAAAATGATTCATGTAATTTGGAATGAACATGATGAATAGGTGTAATAGACCAATACAGAGATCTGATAATGAAACATGAGTATATTCAGTTAAAACCCCTTCAGCCATTACAGACCTGTAGAATAAAGTGAAATGGAAGCTTTAAGGCTTTTGTGTTGATGGAATTTGCACACAAGAGGTAATTCCAGGTTGCCTTTTGATTTGAATAGACAAAATTTAATTGCCAAAATGTTTCCAGAGTGATTGCTCTTGTCCTTTTCATAGCCAAACATGTCTGATGATCACCTATTACACTTTTTGATATTTAGTCAAGATGGAGATACATAGCTGCAAGATCATCTGGAAAACTGCTCATCACCTAGTCTACAGGGCAGCAAATAATTTAACAGTAAAATGACATTTGTTTGTAGGTTTTTGTCAAAGTTGTCAATTAATTTGCTTTTAGTGCTACAATAAATTATTCAGTCGGTTGTTCTCCTTGTTTTCATCCGTCAGAGTCATTTAATGCAGGACTAAAGTGGAACATGCTGCCAGTCATTATTAGCATGACAAAATAATTCCATTCTTCATTTCAGGCTGGTTTTATTGGCTATTATGTTGTAACCTGCGTCAGATGGTTTGTTACACAGAACCACCTGGGAAGTCATCACTGGAAACGGGCAGGAACAATCTGAACCATCTGTTTATAACCGTCTTCACGAATGAACTTCAACCAATCAGAACAACGAACCATGTAACATAGTCAGACTCTTACTGGAGCCAGTTGGGAGAACGTAGAAAACACATTTTCCATCACTGTCGTTCTTTACACTTCTTTCAGTCAAGAAATTCTCTCCAATTTGGACATAATTGACGCTAGCAGCATTTATGCTAACCCCCCCATAGCTGAATGGTCCGGTAACACATAGTTTGGTCACAAACACGAAGACGGGAGCCTGGCAAGATGGATTCTTGCATGATTGTGTGAGTCTAGCTGCCTCACAAGATTAATTATGTTGTGCCACAGTGAAATTCATTATTAAACAGATGAGATGATACAGTGGAGCTTGATGACAACACGGTCTTAGGGATCATCTTCTGTAAATCCCAGATGTCATATACTGTGATCAGTAGGTACAACTACTTAATCTGATGGTAAAATATTCTGTACAGGGAAGGTGTCCTGAGCTTCTGGGATTTTGGCTGCTAAACCTGTTAAGATGAAGAGATGGCACGGCTTGCTTTTTTTTTTTAAGTGCCTAATAACTTCTTTTGTCTGACTATCATTAGGCGTGGCTATTTAACCTTAATACTACATATATTTTATAATTTTTGGGGGCTTTTATTGCCTTTAATTGATATTGACAGCTGAAGAGTGACAGGAAAGGGGACAGAGAGAGAGAGGGGATAACACGCAGCAAATGGCCACAGGTTGGAGTTGAACCCATGGCTGCTGCAGCAAGGACACAGCCTTGGTATGACGTAAACTATCTGGGTACCCCAAACCTTAATACTATTTGAATACCAATTTAATTGTGATCTTTCTGCCAATAGATCCTCAAAAATGTTACACACTGGACCTTTAACATTGTCATTATTTTAACTGTTGCCCACTGTCAGTGCCAGAGTTACATTGCATACATCGTAGAAGTCAGCGTACATTATTTGGGGTCAAAGTTTAATTTAGTTGAACTTTTGCCACACAACTTGACAGAGAGAGAAAAAACTGGCAGGGTATCATGAAGGTCCCACATGTTGCCTTGTGTCGACGTGGCTGCTTACAAGGACTAGTGTCTAAATTAAATATACTTTAATGCAATTTTTGTTGCATGAGAGAAAGGCAGTGTATTCACCAGAAGAAGGGATCAAACAAATATGTAGGTATCAGTAGCACACATATTGGCACAAATGTCCAAGCCCTTCTTATTCATGAGCTTGCATAGATTACCATATCAGTAAATCTCTGACCAGTAACGTATTCCTTCAAGCTACTTCTTTAACAGCTCTTCTTCTGATGTTCACACTGGGTTCTACTGTTCAGGTTTTCAATTCGTGCAGCAAGCAAAGAAATATGACTCAGATGGATGGATGAAAAGACGGGGTAATTTTTTATTAATTGACTTTGGAAATTGTCTGGCTGAGATGGTTCAACAGTGGCTGAACCTTCTCGTTTGATGGAGACCACCTTAATTATCTGCCGCTGACTGTATATGTGGCTCTGTTTGTCTGGATAGCTTTCCAATAGGAAATCATGGATGAGAGGACACAATGAGAACAGATTCTGTATCTCTGTGTGTTAGAGAAACTGTGAGTGCATGTAAATTAGTACTTCATTCGTTTTCAGTAAATAAAGGCTGTTAAAACAAATTCAGTGTTACTGAAACCCGTTTTTGAGTTTTCAGATGAAGGGAAGAAAATCTGCAATCTATTTCAGTGATTCAGGATTTAACAACGCAATAAGAATAAATAATAAATCATTTCTAAAGTGATAATAACTTATTTTGAATTATGTAGACAACTGAGCAATGTTCTATGGCATTTGAATATTTCCGTTTTCTTACTTTTACTTCACTATAAGTAGTTCATCTACCACTAATACTGACTGAAAGAGACTGAGGAGAAAAAATAGGTTGTAAACTGGAAGAGAACCTAGAAAAATCCTTTTTACAAGGTACAATCTTATCCACCTGCATGCCTATGTTTTTTTGTTAGTTTCTATGCTGTTTGGCTTGTTGTGATATACCCTATGACTCAGCCCTGTAACACACTCACAGTTAGCCATGGTGATGTTCTGGGAAACCGGGTCCCAACAGGGGGAACCCTGAGCTCCTCCTGGACCTCTGAGCTCCTCCTGGGGCAGAGTCTCGTCCTGTGGCTCAGTCCTCGTCCTCTCAGGGGACCAGAACTGTGAGTGCCTCAGAGCTCTGCAGGGACAAAGCTGTAGATGGTTGTCATGGTGGAAAGCTGCATATCGTCTGGGTGCACGATACAGATATACAGAATAACAGACATACTGTATATTTACATGTGCAGTATCTCAGTTTTGGCTGCTATTCTTCAAACTCACTAAAATCCATAAACTGTCCCATTCTCATTTATTTTGTTTGTTCCACAATGAATTAGTGCCCCCATTGGACATTACATGCTTTATTTGTTTTTTTCTAATCACAGACCCAAACACTATAAAGCCGAATGATATGTGAGAGGGCCCCGGAGGGAGAAAATAACTAAGTGCACGGAAGGCACAGGTACATATTTATCCAGCTGGAAGATTAGAAAGGTTGGAGAGGCGTTGCAATTTATCCAGGCTTTAGTAAACAATAAAGACAGATCGGGTATGAGTTAGCACACAATGTTAACACAAACACAGACAGGCAGACCAATGTGCTTGGTCAGATTAATGCAATGCAGCCACACCATTCAATTTACCCAACAATGAATTGAAAAAGTGGATTGACTCATTCGCCATTTTGTTTGTGTTTTTAAGGCAGATCATTTGCATTATATTGTATTAGTATTAGATCACTGAAACATGTTTGATAAACCTGACAGGTGACTCAGCTCATTGTGCAGAGTCTCTCTTTCTTCTATCCCTTTCTGTTCTGTGCCTGCAGGCTCTGTTTGTTCACTTCCTTTTCCTCCTCTTATGCTTGGATTGTTGGAGACGACGTGTGTTGTTACCAAATTAACCAAAAACCTCCTTTGCTGGAGCAAAATTGCATCGTGAGACTATTTTCCTCATGATATATCTGAAACACAATTCAAACAGAGGCCCCATGGTTGTTTCAGTAAGTCAGTGGCGGCACCATGTGAGCGCCCCCTGCTGTCTGCGAGTGGCAGGGCTCCTGTTAATAGAATCACGTTTTCCCTCAGCATGATTCAGTCTCTGTGTTCATGGGAGTAATTGGTTTGAAATTGGTCTATTTTCTCTGAGAACGCTGTCCTGGATGTCCTGCGGACAAAGTGCTTTTTCAAATGATAAAAAAAAAAAAAAAAAAAAAAAGGTATCTTCACTCACTAATCTTCAAACTGGAGTGGCAGTGGACAATCACAACAATGAATTATTTCCTGGCAGGTAATAGGATGTCATGAGGAGGCACACTGGCAGTGGAGCTAGAAACAAGTTGATTTATATTTGATGTTTCTTTTTCTGGTTCTGCGCTGCATGTTTCATATAAAATGGTATAAAATATGATAAATAAAAAGTACTTTATATTTTATGTGACATTCATTTGTATCTGTTTCAGAGAATAAACATTTTTAGTGCATTTCTGCATCTTTGTATTCATTGTAAACTATCTGAACAATAACTTAGATTGCCATTTGATTCAACCATTCATTTCCTCCTCAGGATGAACTTTGCTTAGCTCCTGATTTTTCAACTCACCAAACTGATGACAGTTCCCTCGGTATTGTATTCCTGCAGGTTTCTGCACACAGTCAGCATAGTTAGAGATATCAGTTCTCATTTTCTCCCCTTCAGACAAAGCTTTTTGTAGCCATTCATTCTTGTACATGCAGAACTAACTTCACAGACAATGATCCATCACAATAAACTTACGTCCTTACTTTGATGTTGTCAAAAATGTGTGTCTTATCATATTTCTTTGTGCCTGACTTAAGTGTTGTGATATTGTGTTCAGTGTTTTAGTCTTTGCTTTCTGTCAATCACCTGACATGACAATCACTGCCTCTGTTGGAAAATAATCCCTAAAAACAGGCACAGACTTGATTGACACATCCATGTCTTTCTATTGGTGAAAAGTCTTATAATATAATTACATATGGCTTGGATTGAAAAGTTTTCTTGAAGCACACTTTACACACTTTCCTTGACGTAATAAACACAGTATTGATTGCTTGTTCATTTTTGGGAAGACCTGAAATTGTGTTTATTGTTTCATCTCTCTCGTGCAGGGAGTGGCGTTAGCCTCTCTGTTTTTCATCCTGGTGTCGATCACCACCTTCTGCCTGGAGACCCATGTAGCCTTCAATGAACTGCAGAATCGGACGGAGCAGGTTGTCGACGGCAACATCACACGCACAGTGGAGAGGAGGGAGATGGTGACAAAGCCCATCCTCATCATGGTGGAGGGCATCTGTGTGGTCTGGTTCACATTTGAATTCCTGGTGCGTATCGTCTGCTGCCCAAACAAGCTGCTCTTCATCAAGAACACGCTAAACATCATTGACTTTGTGGCCATTCTGCCGTTCTATTTGGAGATGGGCCTGAGTGGTCTGTCATCCAAAGCTGCCAGCGATGTGCTGGGCTTTCTCCGAGTGGTGCGTTTTGTCCGGATCCTCCGGATCTTCAAGCTGACACGGCACTTTGTTGGCCTGCGCGTGCTGGGTCACACGCTGAGGGCCAGTGTCAATGAATTCCTCCTTCTCATCATCTTCTTGGCACTGGGTGTACTCATCTTCGCCACCATGATATACTACGCTGAGCGCATTGGAGCCAAGCCCGACGACCCCACAGGCTCCAACCACACACACTTCAAGAACATCCCCATCAGCTTCTGGTGGGCGGTGGTCACCATGACAACGCTGGGCTACGGAGACATGTACCCACAGACGTGGCTGGGCATGATGGTGGGGGCGCTGTGTGCGCTGGCCGGGGTGTTGACCATCGCCATGCCGGTCCCCGTCATTGTGAATAACTTTGGTATGTACTACTCGCTGGCTATGGCCAAACAGAAGCTGCCGAAAAAGAAGAAGAAGCACAACCCGAACCCAGATGCTCCAACTGACTCGGCCTCATTTGTAAAGTCAGAAACAAACTCGCACAGAGACAGCACTCAGAGTGACACGTGTCCGCTGGCTGCTGAGGAGAGTGTCAGCAGGAACCGCTCAGGTCAGGCTGCAATGCAATATTAATGGGTCAGTTCATCAAAATTGCCTATTGTGGAATCTAGCCATGCAGATAGTTCTGGTATAGTTCTGAACTCAAGATACTTAAAGGACTAGTGTGTAGGATTTAGTGGCATTCAGTGCTCTAACTTGTGCCCTTCACCCTTAAACTCCAAATTGCTCCTTATCTCAAGGCGCTTCCACATGCAGCAGGAGGAGCAGGGGATCGAACCACCAACTTCTGAGCCACAGCCACCCACAGTTATGAATATTATAATTCTATTTTTACAAGTAGATCCTCCTAAATGTTACACACTGAACCTTTAAATACATAAATTCCCTTTTTAATTTTAATTTGTTTTCAGTGTTGCGAAAACAAAATATCATTCACTTCCATTGTAGATCTTAGTGTAGACTGTCGGCATGGCTAAGTACGACTAGAAGTAAAGTAGAACATTCTTTATCATTTGGATGAACTGACCATTTAAGCTTATACTGTTTATAGTATTTATTTATTAGGTTTTTAATTTGGAAAAATTGTGTTTTTCATAATTGATGATACATATTTTGGAGGTCTTGAGCCTTAACATAAACAGCCAATGTGTATTTTTTAGTCTTCCTGAGGCTTTTCAGAGTTTGCTTGACAGATGAACCACGCACTGTCATAACGACAGTAACACACCAGGATCAAATTACTCCTCATAGCATCTCAGTCAAATTGAATTTCATCAAAAATACTGATTTTATGCAGTATACCTCTGCCTTTGTCTGGGCCCTCAGGGTAGTCTCGGTAAAAGCTTTGGCATTTATGTCGCTGTGTATTTTTGTCTTCCTGTCAGACTCCAAACAGAACGGAGATGCAAATGTGGCCCTTTCAGAGGAGGAAGGCTGCAGCCTGACCCAGCCACTGTCCCCCAGTGAAAAGTGGTCCCTGCGGTGCTCCAGAGGGCGAGATAAAACTAAAAAAGAGGCCACCTGCTTCCTTCTAACCTCTGGAGACCCCAGCATCCATACTGGTAAGTAACATACATATCAGTATGTACTGAAATGTACACATGTATCGTTTGTAGCGTTGCACGCTATACTGCATGCTTGCTACATTTTGGCTGTTCTGTTAGGCTGCCCTTTGAGAAAATTCTAATTCAAATTTGGTTCTGTAGTTATGTTGTTTGGTATTTTGGGTTTTCTCTACTGGTGCTCTCTGGGAATTAAACAGCGTATTCAAGAAAATCTTGTATGTCAAGACCAGGTGCCGTGCAGTATATGTATAAATAGTTCTAGACAGTTTATTATTAATTTAAGGATCCCCATTTTTTGTTCTCTTCAGCTGTCAGAAGGTTTAACAAGACCAAAAGCCCACAGCCAGGCTTGCAGCCCATGCTGTAATTACACACCAGAAAACAGTTGATGAAAAATTAGAGAATGTTTTGCTATTCTTAGATCTTTAGATCAGGGTCAGGACAGAGGTAAGACCATGTTGTTAGTTAGATGTTGTTAGAAAATGCTTCATAAAATAGCTTTATCTGTAAAACAGTAAAATGTCCTGGTTTTCAACATTCACTACAAAATCATCCTGGTGTTTGCCACAATTTAAATAATTATATTCTAGTTGTTTTTAGTGCTTACATAGACATTTATTATGTCCCACTCAGTTATGTCAGTATGCTAACGGTTAGCTGTCATGCTGAAGAGAAAGTGGGTCACTGGAAATCTTACTCTTCCGTAAAGTAACTGGCAACATAAATGCTGCGTTCATGGTGCCCATAGTGTTGAAAGGTGTGCTTGGTAGGTGTGCTGAAATAATTGTCACCCATCCTGATGAAAATGCCTGTCTACATGTGCATGAACGTGTGGTACAGTTAAAGGTCCCGGTTTGGGGGTTAGTCACCCTAGGTGTGGATACTGTTATTAGTTTCAGAGGCTCTGAGTCCTATCATGCATAAAAGTTGGACAGGTACAAATTTTGACACACTGATTGAATTCATCTTCCGGGGAACAGATTTTATCTTTGGTTCAAAAATTCTGGTTCTCAAAAAGTCTTTACCCGGTACAAAGGTAATCAATCAGAGCTCAGCAAACAATCCAAAGAGGCCAAAAAGAGAATATAGTGTATGGCAGCCTGGTGGAGAATTTCTGTAGACTCAACATAACAATGTTTGAGTTCCCTCATTAAAAGATTAAAGAAAACTCCACTGTATATACCCATTTCCCTTCCTAAATTTCTATCATCTGTCTTGCCACCTCCAACTGACTCAAGGCAGTTTTACTCATTATTTACAGGACAAATCAAAAGGAAATCAATGGAAGAGCGGTATAGTGCTAATTGCATCATCTATCGGTCTGTGTGTGCTCAGTGAAGGAGCTTTTCTTGAATAACCGTGTCCACAGAGTGCTGCTAGGTTAGTAGTAACACAAGGTACCAAACAACCTGTTGTGTACAAGTTTTTGTTGGATCATTGAACTACACATTTTTAACATGTACCACAAATGCTCTGTAATTTTGACTCCTTTAAGGTATCTGGAAAAGGTAAAATGAGTGTAAAGGAGAAGGCAAAGCTCCTTTAATTCTCTCAATTGACATCCGTTGTCAACCTGCCATCTCTCTCTGCTTGAATGGTTGCTGGATCTCACATCTGAGCTTCCCAAAGTACCCAAAAGCCCCTTGTGAGAAGAGGCTCTATATTTGGCAGTCATGGATTCATTCCTGACATCCTGAGCACAAATCCCACCCAGTCGACATCCTGACTCTCGTCTGCAAACAGTCCAACCACACTGAAGGTGTTTTCCTGCAAAACTGCACATTACCCAGATGCATTTTTCTACCAGAGCTTATTAGCACATCACTGTTGAGGAAAAAACAACACATAAATGGGGCCACTTACTATAGCTCGGCTCCTGTGAGAGCATATACCCTCACTTTTTTTTCTCCGACAGCCCATTACAAGAAATTGTTTTTGGACGTGTTTTCTGAAAGCCTTTTCAAGCCCTGAATGTGTTGAGTATCGTAGATTGGTGTAGGTTAATGGCATGTTGTCACATACAGATGAAAAAATAAACCAGACATCCTCCATTATATCTCTCGGATAAATGAGAAGAAGGCATCTTACATGTAGTGATACTCAGGGGAGGAAATCATCTGTCAATTCAAAATATACAGCCTCACAGTCGTAGCTGTGGGAAAAACACAAACACAGAGAAACAAAAGGCATCCCCAGCCTTTTTTCACACAGATTTCACTAATAATACGCAAACGTATCGGTCAGCTCATGAGATTGCCTAGTGAGCTGTCTCTGATCGCAGAGGCAAAAACAATAGAAAGCTGAGCAAAGCCAGAACACCTCAAAACTAATCTTTGAGAGAGAGAGGATGGAGGTAATTCAATCCTGAGCCCTGTGTCTGGTGAGTATGTGGATAATGACATCCCAGTCTATTACAGGGATAATATCACACATACACAACACATTTTAGTGCACATTACCTGCAAAAAGGATTCAAGTGGACTTTCAGTGTTTCCTAACAGTGTTAAAAACTGTTGTGGCAGAGTTCAAAATCAAAAACTCTTTGTTTTTATCCAACCTGCAAAGTCTGCCTTTGAGATTTCAGCCATTTTGGGTTGGTTAGATGGAGAGAGATAGTGGCAGTGGCTCTGCTCTTCACAGCTATGCCCATAGGGGATGGTGTTTGGTTAATTCCAGGGTTACAGGATATAAGGTATGGATAATACTTCACCAGAGAAGTATGGCAGGAAACGGAGAAAAGGACAGATGGATGCAGCAGTCCTGAAGATGCTCAGATGATTATCAGTGACAGGAAATGGTCGCCCGCCCTGCAAAATGCTGGTGGATTTGAAGTGATTAAGGTCGTCACAGGGAGTCTGTGACAGGGTTAGCGCTCGCTGTCACAATTTATACGTACAAAAGCGAACACTGACCTGGTCGAAGGCGCATTGTCTCGGCGATGTGACAACCGCCCGCTTGTTATGAGTGCATAATGGTTGTGGCAAACCGTTCAAGTGCTGCTAAGAGGAAGCAGCAGGCGGATGTACAAACAAGCAGAGAAAAGGCTTCTGAGCTCGGATGAGCCTCCATATTCCCATTTGACTCCTTTGGATGATCACCACTAATAGGTTTCCATTAACAACAAGGGTGGTCAAAGAAAAAGTGTCCTGGTGGCCTCTGAAGTTCAGATCTGTTGGTTTTCTCTGACTGTGGAGTAGAGCTAAAATATTAGTCAATCAATTACTTGTTAAACAGAAAAGTATAGACAACAATTTTGATAATCACCAAATCATTTTAGGCATCATCAAGCACAATATGAGATTTTCACTACATTATTGTGGCAAAAAGAATTTACGATAAGGATTTTATCGTGGGGCGCCCCATCTCCTTGCTGCCATGGGTTTGTCTCCGACTTATGGCCCTATAGTTGCGTGTCATCCCCTCTCTCTTACCCCCTTTCCCATCACTCTTCAGCTGTCACTATAAGACAAGTCCAAAAAAATATAGAAAGGATATTATATATCAAAAAGAACAATTAAACTGAGAATGGAAAGAAACCAAAAGGATTTAGGAGGTGCTGGATTGTTTACATTATTATCATTTATGTATTATTGACATGATATCAATATTTCATTTTTAAAATATCACCATTATCATCAATACTGGTTTATTGCGACACCCTTAGTTGCAGTCCTACTGTGATGGGTTCACAGCTTGAAGAGGGTCAGCTTTTGTCCAGCAGAGATATTTCATTACACTACTTGAAAACAGTTATTCTTCTTTTAATGCTCATATTATAAGTCACCATGTTTTACTGTATTTCTGTCCTATGTGTTTCCAACAGAGAGCTGTAAAGACATCCTTGCTGCCACTGGAAACTACGCTCAGCCGGAGGTCACCACCCTGACCTGATGCTGATTGGCTATGAAAAGGAGAAAGAGCATGAAGTCGCAGTGGAGTACATGCTGGTTCCCGCTTTATTTTCCTTCCTGAATGAACTGCAGACCAGATTCTTTTTATTCAAGACAAGACTTTTTTTTTGGTCTCATACATCTAAAACCCCTGTGGTACAGTTCAGTTGCATAGCAGATTTACCATATTTACACTCATGTTACAAAACATTTTGCATGTATTGCATGATCTAGCATTGTAGGATGTACTTAAAAGCTGGCTACCATTTATATGCTTATCATTTAGTGAACATTTCATAGCTTGTCCTAAAGGCCCGTATTTTCTCAGTTAGCTTCTTGTTTTGACCGATGGGGTCCGCCATGAACACATAATCTACTGCCCATGTTGGAGCAGTTCTAATTATTTCACATGTTTTTCTTTTCTCTTTGCTCTTCTCTCTGGTTTTTCGTTGGAAAAAGGTGATGTCATGTGTTTCTGTGCTCCGATCAGGATTTAGTTGGTTGGGTTGTTACTGTCAGTCAGATCTGATCAAACCACACCCACACAGTCCTGATTAGATTGAGTTCTCAATAAGTCCCAATAAATAATAATTACCTTATTAGTTATTGGTCAGCTTTGACTGTTGCTTTTTTACTTATGAATATTTAATGTTATAGAGATTATAGAAGATTTAAGATTAGTTTTCAGGTTTAATCTGAAGTGAGTGTTTTAACCATCTTTGCCAATGAGATGTTGCATTTCACTCTGATTTTCTTTTGGAGTAATATGTACAGAAACAGTTTGAGCTCTTTTTGGAACAAAAAAAAACAAAAAAAACAAATCTTATTGACATTGTGATTAATGTCTTATATTCATAACTGTTGTTAACTGTTGAGTAAGAACACCCAAACACTTGTGAATATGGGTTTGTACAGCAAAGCTGTTGAACTGTGAACTAGGATTAGATGAAAACTTGAAATCATTGTTCAATCCTCATCAAAAACAGACCCAGAGTTCTTTGACGATCATCCGGTCTCTGCCTTCTGTCGTGCCACTGCTTTTTAACACTGACCACAGGGACAACATGCAGATATTTTGTTGAGACACAAGCGTGGTATGAATGCTGCTCAGGCAACACATTGTTTGTAAATCCTTGTACAATAAGAGAGTTTGACAAAAGAAAAATAAATCAATGGAGCAGTATTCTATATTACATTAGCCGTATACAGTTGATGCATCACTACTGGTTGAGTCCGGACCAAATGTAGACTCCTATGTTACATGGTAGATTTTCAGTACCATAGTATGTAAAAATACATACAGTACATTGCCATCAGTTCCACTTGTGCCTCATGTTGAGTAATGGAGCTTAAACGTGTGCAGTAATGTCTGTATATTTGTTCTTTAACACTTCTGGTTGTGTCAGATCTGTAGAAACCCTGTTACATGTTTCCACGGAGAAAGGAAGGAGGAGTGTGGTTTCTTTCACTTGTGACTTATAATATATTCCTCATGGTCTACCATAGTGGCCTTATGTTTAATAAACAAAGGGAAAGTTCATTTCATCTTCATTAGACTCCAGCTATGCTGACCCAGAGGTCTGTAATTATGTATAAGCACAGTTTTACGTATGTAGCACAGTAAAATATTCTGGATCATTCCTTAAACTATTTTCTCCTCTGTATATGACATCATGTTAACTAATAATGAAAGATTATTATTTTGATAATTCACCTTTTTAGCCTCATTTCCTGTTTTTCCTGTTGTATATACTGGAATGTGACAGAGAAGCACACAGCACATCAGTTTCATATCTCCCCACTATGGATTGTATAGGTGACGGTGATTGATTTAAACCCAGTCCAACTGTCAGATGTTATGTGTGCATGTGTGCGTGTGTGTGAGTGTGTGTGTGTGTGTGCAATGTTGTATCATGTAGGCATGTGTTTCTATGCAGAAATAGAAATAAAATACAACCATCCCCCCCCCGTTGTTGAAGAAAATCTTGTTGTTTATGTACACATTGTATTTTCATTCACAGCTGCCTTACCAAACCTAAATTTTTTCCATTAACTGCGCAGTTTGCAGCTGTATAGTGCTGCTGCTGTGTCACCTACTGTACGGCTATTTATAGTGGTGACACAAGTGGAGTCTGGTGGTTGATCTTGTGCTTGCTCAAAGTGGTGTAACGGCAGTCACAGCCGTGCCTCCTGCTCTCCTGTGCCTCCATGATTATGTACCGAAGGTGTAGATGGCATACAGAACACATCTCCATGGAGATTTGGGATGACAGGCAACACTAATTACTGCTCTGCAGCCTCCATCTCCCCCTCCCTCAGTCTTTCACACGCAAAGAAACACCACTCTCTCTCTCTATCCTCACAGACACACACACCTCATCTCAGCGTGATCGTCGTTACTGTTGTTGCCCATGAGGAACGTTTTGATGTTTAGGGATGTATTGTGGAGAGCACTGTGGTGATGAAGGGGGAGGAGGGGAGGGGTCACGGTGTCATGGATGCGTCTAAACCATCAAGGCTGCATGAATATGAAAGCAGACACCATGTGTTCATACAAAAGCAGACAGTCTTTTACCAAAGCTAAAAGTGGACTGATTGGTCAGATAGGAGCAGGATGACAACATGACAACAAGATGCTTTTATTCTGTCTCTCAGAGACAGCGTTTGGCTGCAGTGATATCAGGAAGGATGTAAACATGTACAGAGAAATATTGAGCTCATCTCCACAAATATTGGGAGTGCATGCATCACATCTATTCGTGTGACCTGGATCTGATTGAAATCATGGTTATAATGTGATACAATGAACATTTGTGTGACAAATGGATTTTGGTTTAGAGCTTTTTCATAAGCATTAAATTAAAGGGACACTTCACAAAATGTTCTCATTTGCCTCTGAAGGTGGCTGGTCTTGAGACAGTTTTAGATGCGTTTCTCCAGGTTTGAAATATACATATTTCAGATTAATTCATAATTAAGGTGAATGGAGTTTACACAGTATTAAAAAATTATCATTTGAAAAAACAATATATACAGATCCCCATTACTAAAAGTCAAAACAGATGTAATACGTAGTTTTTAGTGGAAATTGTTCACAGTTTTTAAATGTTGTTCGTAACAGTGTTAATTTATGTTCTGTTGCTTTATGTTGCTCTGTGTGTACTGTATACTGACGTTGCTTTTTGTTGTAATTTTTGGAATTTTATTATGTTATTTTTGTATTTCCTGTCACTTCATTGGTTTTTAGAACAAATTGTCAAAGGGCTGCAGTGAATAACACTGGCACATTTACAGAAATGTTGATTATTGTGCAAATAAATAAATAAAATTAAAAGTCCCTTGTCAATGCTGTGTCCGCCACAGACATCTCCATTGTATTTGGGTGGAGGAAATCTAGGCGATGGATATTTTAAAACAATAAAACCAAAAATATCTTAATGTATAGATACCACTTTTTTTTTTTTCCTTTGTATTTTGGATAAACTGAAGCTTTAATACACTGGAAATTTGATTATGCAGCTCGCAGCATTTTTCTTTGCTAAATTAATTAAATGCTTATGCTTTTATTTTGATGTTTGCATCAAGTCTACATTAAAGTTCCAGTGTCTAGAATTTGTATCTTCTGGTGAAGTTGCAAATTGCAACCAACTAAATACCCCTCGCCTCACCCCCCTCTGCGTAGGAGACCATGAAATCCACAATAAATGCAAAAGACCCCATCTAGATCCAGTGTTTAGGTTTGTCTGTTCTGGGCTACTGTAGAAACATGGTGGTTTAACATGGCAGCCTCAGCAGAAGAGGATGCCCACTTTATGTAGATATCAAGGGTCTTATTTTCAGGCAATTATATACTAATGAAAACATTCCTGTGAACATATTCCTATCTCCTTTCTCCTAAATGTTACACACTGGACCTTTAATGTCTCACATGCTATCATTAGACAAACAATCCAAAACGACCCTGTTTTCAGTTTTCTGTGGTTCAGGTGTATCCATAAGAAAGTTGCTGCGTTTAAGTTTTCCGTGATTGATGAGTGAATGATGTAGTGTAGCACAGCATGTAGACAAACTGCCTTTTAATGTTGGTCACTTTTGCTTCATAGCTATTTGAATGTCATGGTCATACATCACAGGTATCATCATAATCAATTGGTTTTAACAACTGAGGCCGCCTCACTACTGCAGCAAGCACATTGTAGATAACGTACAACACAAATTATCTCTCTAACCCCAGAGGGAAATACCACCTTAACAGTCCTCTTTAAACTTGTGTACGTCTCTGTGCTCAGAGGTGATAATTGCCCAGCTGGATCCTTTGATTTGGTTGAATGCCATATTTTGATGATTCTATCAACACAGAGCAGTCCTCATGCTAGTAGCAGATAGTTTTCCACACCTGAATAACTCCATTAGTGAACCAGCGTCTCCCACTCAGGGGGGCCCGGAAGAAAAATGATTGACAGATTAGCGAGGCTGTGATTCATGAAACGAGATGAGCTCGGGCAGAGGAGAAAGAGTCAGAGCTGGAAGTTGAGAGAGAATCTGTCAGGGCTTGTCCTGTCATCCTTGATTACTCCCTTTCATTGTTTCCCCTCTTTCCTTGTTTTATTTTTTTCTCCTCTGTTGAAGGTTGTCATGACAATATTGAACACAGTTTCCATGGAGAAAGGCTGAGCCCGAGCCATTTCACCATTTCATTCACTGGTGCGACACTGTGGAAAAAAGGGACCATCTTGACTTCTTATCTTGCCTGGTGGAATAACAAACTTTCACTTATTTATGGCTTTATGAGGATGTAATTTAGAGGGTGGCAACATGTATTTTCCACTATAAGTGGATATAAGTGAGCTCCCATGTAGCCTAATAAATAAATAATGTATCATTATTGCATTGTTGTGGCCTGCAAATTATTTGAGCAATCAATATTTTGAACTCACTTTGTGCAAGTCATTCCTTTTAAAATAAAAGTCCATTATTCTGTTTGCAACACGTTTTTCTATTTTGAATCAGACGATTTTTTCAAACAGAGATAAAACGCAGGCTTCTAGCTCCTCTTCAATTTAAAGTACCAGTGTGTAGGATTTAGTTGCATCTAGCGGTGCAGTTGCAGATTACAACCCTCTCGCCTCACCCTCCCGTTCCAAGCGTGTAGGAGAAACTACGGTGGCTGTGAAACCATTCTGGGCTCATTCTATGGTATCAAAAACACAACAATTCTTATTTTCAGGTGATTATACTTACCTATGAATATCATATTCCATTTCTGTCAATAGATCCTCCTAAATGTTACACACTAAACCTCTGAGATTTCAAGTAGAAAGTTATTGTTTGACTGCTTTTGAGAAGCAAATTAAGTTCATCAGAAAGATATAAAATCATCTCATGAAGCAGTATCAAGCAGCATTACAAATCACAATCCAGGCACAATGAAGCCACATCGTCTTACAGTATTGACAAGCGTTTGTAAGTCCAGTTCTACCAGCTTCTTAGGAGCAGATGAGAGGAGGGAGAAAGAGAAGAAGCACAAAGTGGTTGCTATACAGATTGTATACAGTCTTGGGATTCTCCATTTTCTGAGTTCAAAGGTCATCCCGACATGGAGAGCTAACCTCTATTAGCCTTCAGATCTTGAGTGGATTGGGAGCCACAGAAGCGCTTCACTGCTGTCATTACCGGGAGAAGAAGATCTTGTGTCATTTTGCTTCTGGACTGAGCTCACAGCTCTTCATTAAGGATGTTGATTGTCATGTTTTTCCCAGATTGAGTTGTCATGTAATATTCTGGTGTTTATTCCAAATTGAGTAATTGTACAGAGAAGAATATAAATATTTGACAACCCTGATTATAACATGTGAAAGTAGAACATGAAATACTTCCATTAAAGCACAATGTAAATGCCACATTTGTGTTGCTTCATTAAATCAGTCACATGCTCACACAGTCTCCTGTCAGGCTCTTGGAAGCGGTCAGAATGATTTTCTCTGACATGTCAATTTGAGCTCCTCAACAGATGATTCAGTGCTCCCTTTGTTTCTGCAGTTGACGACCAGAAGATGCTTTCAAATCCTTTTACTAGTCTAGAGTTTATTTCCTCTGTGGCAGTAAAACACAACTGGGCTTTTAAACATTTGTAGGCTTGCTAGCCTAGCAACATGCTGCAAACAACCCATAATGCAACACTTGCTAGAAAAGATACACTTTATATTTCAAAAGAATATCTGATGTTTTTATTAATCATTTAACAATTAGTCTGTTACTCGTACAGTACGAGTCATAACCATACCTACTCATGATATTTGATCCCTTCAGTGATGGGAATCAATCAATCTATTTAGCATGTATGTATCTATTTGTGGTGTAGATCCTAAAAGCTAACTATCTTACATAAGAGGAGAATATTTCTCTCACAGAACCAGGATAATTCATTGTTTTTATCACTTCCAGGTTCAATTTTTACCCATTGTGCACACAAGCAGTTTTCCCATGCAATGATGAACTGATACATTTCAGGTGCGCTCACCTTCAGTTTTACCTCCAAATAAAGTTGGTGTAAATAATCTGGTTCATTTGCTGGTTTGTTTACAACCTGTCTGATGGTCTCATTGTTTGTGTTCCTTGCCCTGTTTCAGCAATTTTTCCATCCTCCCAAATCTTGCCGATTAACTTGGTGAGAACAATGTTATCATAACCAGTTGAAATGATGGTCAAAGTGATACAAATTTGAGTCAAAATGTATTAAACCTGAATTATCCTTTAAACTAGAACCAAAATGTCCTAAATGTAATCAGGCCACCAAATATCAACATTTTTCACAACCGTTCTGGCAGAGTGCTTCATGATCAGTGAAAAGTCGACTGACCATAACAACAAAACCCAAAATCATAAGTTAAACCAATCCAACCCTGTGAGCGTGGATGGAGATGTAATGATCTGTGAAGAGCAGGAGAATTATTTCTCAGTCAACTATCCTAAAGGGAGTTTCCCTCGACCACAGAAGCATTATGTGTTCAGCAGGCCAGCCTCTTGTGGGCCACTAATGGACAACACTCCCTGTTCTCCTGTGCCCCAGTGTATGTGTGCATGTGTGTGTTTGTATGGGGGGAGGGCGGGAGCAGTGGGGCAGGGGAGGGCAGAGAGAGACAGGGGTAAAAAGTGGGAGCTCCATCAGTATTGACCCTGGTGGACTATTACATTACACCAGCTCCCCCACTGCCACCACAACCACGCTCTCTTCCTCAGCCTTCACATAATGATCAGACCACCAAAAACACACCAGCTGAACACACAGGAACACATACAGCACTGCATTTTATTTGAACCTAACACTTAAATCCTGGATGGTTGAGTGTAAAGTGGATATTATGTCTGATAACTGGCCACTGAAAAGTACCGAGGAAGTTTACTGAATGCAGCGCCAAGACGAGGCGAAGAACAGTCATGAGGACATATGGGAAACAGCTGAGTCAGTCGCAAACAGCTTGAGACAAAAATAATACAGGAAAGGTTTGATTGTGATGTATAATCACATTCTTCCAGATAGAGGACAGATATAATGGAGATAATAAAACATGCATGAAGCCTAGTAAATGATTTTATGTGTTGGTTTTGTTTTTAGGATGGAGTATAAATGCCTGCATTCATGAATAATTGTTTTTTTGTTCCCGTCAGCTGTCCAGAAGAATCAGATGTTTTGCATCCACATCTTAATGGGTGATGGAGGAGCAGCTTGCAAGTGAATGGAAAGGCCGGGCAGCAGAGCCGCTTCATTATAATCTCATTTGGCCTCTACTGAGGGAGGAAAATATGAGAAAGTGCTGTCTCGGTTTGTGATGAGGAATCGAGTTCCTACAGCTGTGTTTCCAAAGCATTTTTTATGATTCCCTTTCTCATGATGCAAAAATGTTGTTACAAAGAGAAAAAAAGAATAGTTTAGGAGAGTGAGATGAGAAGATCAATACCACTCTCATGTCTGTCTGTTAAATGTGAAGCTATCTTAGCTGGAGTGTTGTCCTCACTGTGATGTTGCCAGGCAACCACTGGAAACCACAGGAAGTGACTGCGCCCAGTCACGAAATAATTAACCCCCCATAAAACCAGAACATATCATTTTTTTTACCCCTTTGGTTTTTGTAAAGATGAAATAAATTAGATATTACATGTTACTTAGTGAAGACTAATTTAAGTGCAAGCAAGCAGATTGTGTTACCAGAACCAAGCTAGCTGTTTCCCTCTGATTCCAGTCTTTGTGCTAAACTAAGATAAGCTGTTGGCACTAGCTTCAACTTACAGACCTGAGTGTGGTATTGATATAACATATTTTTCCAAAATGTTGCCTTTACATTTTGTATTTCCTAAAACAAACCTGTAAATGCTGCAAAACCCATTCAGAATTCTTCATATTCTTCAAATCAAAGATAACCTAAAATAAATAATAGTATAAAATAATGATAGTTTGGTAACAGTTGAACTTTTCTCACACAAAAAAAGAACATGGATTTTAACACCCAAAATACTGTGTATGTTCTAGGTTGGGTCATTACCTTGAGTCCTTAACCCCAACTGCTCCTCAGTGGTCAGCAGATCTGAGGCTGTACTGAGCAGCTTCCAGGTGTGAATGTTTAACTGTGTGAGTGTGATCACGGCGTCCCTGAAAAATACATTCTTCCTCTCAATGAAACCCCCCTGAATAAATAAAGGTAGGGGAAAAAAACTGAGGATCTACATAAAAATTAAGATATACATTAATTGGTATTTTACATACCAGAAAGGTATAAGCGTAGCAGTCCCTCCATGTACACCACATCCACATCTCAAGTTTCCTGATTGTCAAACATTTTAGTCGTGTTCCTGCTCTGGAAGTCTCAACAATCAACCTTCACCAAGTGACCCGGCTGATTGGATTTGTGCCAGCTAGTGGGGGAAAAAATCTGCTACTTCTTTATGCTTTTCTGAGAAGTCAGCCCCTCATACGGAGATATCTCCCAGGTGGATTGTGCATATAAACATTTCGACAATCACAGGGTGCTTTTCCAAGAAACATTTATATATCCTGAACAAACTTACAAACAATATCATCAATCAGAGTGACAAGTAACTAAATGACTGACCATTTTTGGGTGACATTTCCACTGTGGCTGCTTATCTTTGTTGTGAATCTGGAGTCGGCTAAGCAGCAGGAAAGTTTCTGAAACTTTGAACCGAGTGTTTTCTGGACAGCATCTCTTAAAGCTCTCTTCTACCATTTAGTAAATTCATGTTACTTGGGTATGAGATTCCTCCCAGGCAGGAGGGGTGTCTTGTGTACATTAAGAGCTTGGCCATTATGCCTAAAGACAGGCGGGGAAATAACACAGCCATTAGTATGTGCATTTGCCTCTTCGATATGCCCTCTCAAGTCTCTGAAATACCATCCATTTATATGCATTCCCATGTAGTCACTTCCTGACACTTTAAGAAGGATTCATTAAATCGTGTAGGATTTAAAAGTATAGAAGTTCATGAATATTTATCTTTCCTATTGCTTCCCTAAATCCCATCTTCACATGCTTTAAAGGCCTCTGTTAAAACATAACACTCTACCTTCTCCTTACAGTAACACTATTGCAAACTTCCGATCTTACAGCATATCATTACTTATGCATAATGAACTCTTTACATCATTCTGAAATCAATGAAGAGTTAGAGAATGAGAACATGCGTTGTTTCTCAGCAGCGGTCTAATCAGTGCCCACTGCTCTTCAGTTGTCATTACAGACGGGGCGTTTCAGAGCAGCACTCCAACAGAATGGTTGAATGAGTGCAATCATGCTTCTGACTGGGCCAGTGCACACTAAATGGCTAATGCATTAGTGATGAGGCCATCACCAGGTAGGTGGGGAATCATTAAGGCGCCACTGTTATTTATCAAAGGCTAATTGTGCTACCTTCAACTCCTCAGTATACAAGGGGAAGTTGCTAAATATTTGATATTGCTGTCTGTTTACTAATTGCCAAGTAACCTCCTATGATTGCACGTGGTCGGATTATCTGACTTTAAACTGGGTTTGAGGAGACTCCCTGAGGATTTGGCAAAGTGAAAAAAAGAGCAGTAGGCTTGAGACCTGGACCCAGACTCAAATCAGATTTACAAAAAAAACTAGCCTGGTGTGGCTACACGTTTTGACAAATAAAACCAGCTCTCAATTAGACGCCTAGTCTGGATGTTATAGAAATTCTTGGCCTGTACAAAACCTCCTGGCCACATGGTCACCCAGATTTTCAGGTATTAATCTAAGATTTTAGCTGCGACTCGGTACAATGTAGGTGAATGTAATTTAAAGTGCTCTTCTTTAGACAATTACATGTAAAGAATTTCACATTCAAAAAGGGACAATGATTCCCTGTTACTCTGGATAATTCACAGACATTACTGTCAACAGCTTTATAGGGACCATTTCTTCTTCGTCTTCGTCTAGTGACCAAATCTGACCAAACTATCTGTAGTGAGATAGTTCTGGTTTAGAAGAGCGTCTACAAACCGACCCAGTACACATAAATAATATAATGTAAAGTTTGCAGACATTAACCACCTCTCAAGTTGTGACCTGGTAATATCTCTTGACAATAACAAATAAATGATACAGCAGCAGCAGCAGCAGACAGACCTTACATACCCACACAGCTTGAATTACCTGTATACTGTATACCTACACCCTATACCTACAGCATTTTCTAGCTATTGCTGCTGAATTCATCTTAAAATCAAGAAACTCTGAACAGACTAGACATGCAAGCGTACCTGCAGCATCATGTCTGTACATTAGTCATCACCATCTGGGTTATTTTTTCACTGGTGGTGATTTCCCTCTCTTCATTCACACCAATCTGCCTGCAAGGCGGCATCAACTGTCAGATTTAGTGT